TGGAATTTACTTTTTTATATTCTCTACTCTCTAAGTTCTGGCCATAAAGAATCAAAAATGGTCTTCCACACAGAGGAGCTTCCAGCAATAGACCTTTATTATAATTTCCCTCAATCAGAACAAACAGTACCTGAACCCCTGTGTCCTAGGGACAATAGAAGTGTATCCAAAGTATCTTGTCTTCTTATTCTCAAACTAACCTGTGCACTTATGTAAACATAAATAAAATAAGGTAATTATAATTCTGGAAGAAATACAACTCTTTCATTTTAGAAACAGAAGTGAAATTGCAATGTTAAAAAGTAGAAAAACAAATCTGAAGGATAAAATAGGAACTGTTCATTTCAGTGAACACAGAAAATTATGGTGATACCACAGGAGTTTAATTTAATATGCTAATAGTGCAAATATAAAACAACTATTTGTCAAATTAGTACTACTATAATGTATATATTTTAAAATAAGTGCTTTTTAAAAAAAATACATTAATTTTGCAGTTCAAGTATGTTGATTTGGGAATAAGTCCCATTGAACTCATTTGGACTTACTCTAAGTAAATGTGAATAGGATTACATGCAAGTAGAGCTGTTTCCAGAGTGTTTCTCTTAAGACATTATTGGCAGGAATTGTAAACAGCTAATTAGGATTCTCTTCATGCTTTTCCTGGGATTTGGCAGCAAAACAGGGAAGAGAGAAGAGTCCCCTTCCAAAGATAAACACTACACTTAAAATGAATCCTCTGATTTTCTTGTTAGCTTAATTTACTGGATCTCCAGGGGCAGAAAAGGGATTTTTGAAAAATCAAGTCCTTACAAAACAAAGGCAGCTTTTAGCATGGAAGAATTGACTTGGTAACTGATAAGTTTAATAGACTTGGCATCTAGCATGTCTTTAACTTTTTCCTTAGAATCTTACAAAGGACTAATCAAGTCTTTACCCAACCTAACAACACCATAATTATTGAAATCCCAGAATTCCTAGCCAGGATAGCCTCACACCTAGGCTGGGAATTCAGTTGCAGACCAGAGCCAATCTGAAGCAACTTCCAGTCCACAATGGTAGTCTATTTGTGACAATTCCTGAGCTAGCACACAGTTTGGGTTTTCAGTTCTGTGACTCAACTTCCATAGTGAAACTTGATCATTCCAGATAACAGTCCATCTCTTTCTTTGTGATTCAAAATGAATAATTTGCATGGGTGTGTATTTCTTCATGTCCTCGAAGAGGATATATAGTGTATCTTTTTTTTTATTTAAAATGGTTTTTCTTATTTTTTTTATTTAACATTATTTTTCTTCTGCCTTCTTTAGTGAGTAAAAAGAGTTCACTTATGGAGTTTCATTGCCACAAACTATAGGATATTTATTCAAAGATAACAGATAACACTGAGACCCTCTTTATCCTTCTGGTTTGAAACAGAAAATGTTTCATTTATTTGTTAACATAAACACTTATTTTGGAAATGTTTATCTAATATTCATGCATATATATCCCAGAGTAGTCTAGAATAAGCTTGATTTCTGTTTCCATGCCTGTCTAATTATGTCAATATTAGTGATGAAATTGGATGAATAGTCACAGTGAGGTTCCCAGACTTAGTCCCAAGCACTGTTTCTAGTGGTTTTGCCACAAGTTCAAGGGTATTTGCTTTATTCAATACATTTCTGACTAGTACTCCCTACATGTCTTACGAAAGCCATAGACTGGTGCAAACAGAAAGCAAGGGAGTTCCAAGTCTGAGAACTTTTTTTTAGCATGCTGTAAACCGTATACCAATAATTGAGCCGAAGCTAAAGGGCAGCAATTTAGACAGAAAGTAGCAAAGACTGTTCAGAGAGATGTTGCTTGCCCTCATAAATAATGCCAGCACTGCAAGCTGCTAGCCTGAAAAGTTTGGAGGCAGGAATACTGAGAGAAGTCCAAGATCATCCTTAGGTCAAGCACTAAACAGTTCCGCAGAAACCAGTCCAAGCTGAAGATCCAGTTGCAGGGCAAAAAATGGGGAACTTAAAGTAGGCTATCGCAGGAGCACAGATCAGGAAACAGGAGAATTATTTGCAATTTGGGAGGGGGTAGGGGTGGAGTATGTTCTCATGTAATCAGAGTTCTTGGCTTTGTTTAATTAGAAAAATGAACACTTCCTTCCTGTGCCAGTCTCTCCTCGTGGTAGTATAATTTAGGGCTTGACACTTTTCCAAGAGCAGGCCCTGACACCTTACTATCAGAATCAGTGGCTTCTGAGTCAGACTCATCACTTATAGGTAGCTGATGGTCTGTTGCTTCTTGCACTGCAGACTTGGAGTCTGCCATGTTCTTCCCTTCAGCCTTACAATCAGAGGAGTCTGTAAATTATGTGGCATAATTAATGTAGTAGCACAAGCAATATAAAGTTTCCCTTTCCTCCATCTTCCAAATCTTCAGTAAGTGTTTTGTATTTCAAAAGTTGAGTGTGAATATTGGCTTGTCAGGAAATATCACTGTTTTAAATCCCTTATAAATATCACTGTTTTAAATCCCTTATAAATGAATGTGTTCCTTTGCCCATTTCCTCCTATCTAAACTTCAGCGATACCCCAAAATTTGCATTATTCAGTTGTTTTGTTCCATGTATTCAGGTTCTTGTTGAGATTGAGAATCATTACAGTGTGATAGCTGTTTTGGAGACATATAAAGTCATATAAAGTGAATTAGTGATGTCAGGCTAGGTGTTGTCAAGGGAGAATTTGCAGGAAAAGCAAGCATTGTCACTTTTTAAAAATTTTTTGGCTGTTTAAAAGCAAATCACTTTCATGTTAATGTGTTTTCCTCCCATCCTTGAATCAGAAGGAAAGTATGTTGACATAAATTGTGCTGCCTCCATGGTATATCTATCATGCTTCAGCAGTAAGGCCAGAAATTGTTGCTGCCCTCACACAATTTAAGGTGGAGCTGTTTCAGGACAGTAAATGCTAGATACTTTGCTATTCTTTCCTCTCCCACCCAGCGTTACCTGTTGAGAGGAAAACCAACCACCAGTCACTCTCTTAAACCTGTGCTGGAATAAGGTTGGAAGTTCAAGCCTTAATTTTTGTTATTTATTTATCTTTAATTTTTATTATTTTTGTATGTTTCTTTTGACAGGACTATCAAGCAGTTTCATAGACACTGCCATTAAGAATTTGTTCAGATCACTGCAGGCTGGAATTTTTATAATACCAAACTATCTGATTCCAATTGCATTAATTCAGATGACCTAGTAATCTCCCGACAGAGAAATAGAAGATCAATATACCAATGCCTGAGTGAAGGGCTGACTTGGAATGCAAAGCCAAGCTGAGGCAGAGGGCTGTCAGTGCTATTGTGCTTCTGGGTCTTTCATTCCTTTCTCCCTTTTGATGCCAATTTTGCCCATGAATCATTTTTTTGGGTTAGGCAAAGTGTCTGTTTTCTCTCCCATTCCACATTTCTGTGTGTGTATATCTCATGCACTTTGCCTACTTTATGATCAACCCATTGTTTATCTGGTGCTGTTTCCTACTTATTTGGGTGTTGGCTGCTGCAGGAAGCCTAGGAAGGGAACAGCCTAGAATACATCTCCAGCAGCCAACACTTAGATGAGCAGGAAACAGCACCAGATAACCAGAGAAGAAATAGTACCGTAATTAAGGAACCATCAATGAGGAAGCCACACCCCCACCAAGACCAGCAAGTAAACTACTGTATATATAAATGGCCAATAAACCTCACTCTCCCTTGCACTGATGATATTTCCTAGCCTGGTAATGAAACTTCTGCAAGAAAACAACCAAGCTCAGAGAACACCAAGAACCCAACAGCTATTTTATTACCAGATAGCAGAGCCTCTAAAGCTTTGACTCAGAGGATTCTGACATCAGGGAGCCTGTTCTGAGAGGGCCAGATGGGCTTCAGCCTGAGGAAGTCATAGATACTCAAGACCTTGAGGCTGATCCAGCTGGCAATAATCAGGAGCAGCTGCATTCACATTCAGAGGACAAGCAACAGGAGCTGGGGCCTCTGCTCAGTCCACGGGCATACCATGTGTTGCAGTGAGCACAGCAAAGATGCTTTGCATGTCTCTTTGTCTGGCAAGGGCATTCTTAGTCTTAATGGGCTCCACTGACATAGGATCTACTTAAGAGCCACCATTAGTCAAGATTTCCTGTTTGGAAATAGCTGACAGACCTACTTGGACTTTGTGCAACCAAAATTGTGAGCCTCTGCTATCCTGAAACTCTGTCCCTCTCTACTCAGCCTGGCTAACAGTCTGACAAGCTGGTGAAAAATATTAGGCTGTGCATGAATTGGGGGAGGCCTGGTGGAGGCTGCATGTGAACGCAGGAAGGCTGGAGGGGTGGATGGTGCAGAACAAGCACAGGAAGGCCAGGGGTGGATGGCGTGGCAGGGTGCGAGCGCAGGAAGCCCAAGGGGCAGATGGTGTGGCAGGGCACAAGTGCAGGAGGTCCAGGGGACGGCAGCGTAGTGCGAGTGCTAGAAGGCTGGGGGGACTTACCAAAGCAACTTGTGACCTTCCCTGCCAATTTCCCCATTGACTTTGCTTGTGGGAAGCCAGCAGGGAAAGTCGCAAATGGCGATGATGTGACTGCAGGACTCTGTAACTGTTGTAACTGCAAGCCGGTTGCCAAGCGCCCAAATCATGATCACATGACTGCTGGGAACTTCGAGGACCAGTTGTAAGTACCACTTGTTCAGCACCATCGCAACTTCAATCGGTCATTAAACAAGTGGTTGGTAAGCGAGGACTACCTGTATACTTTTAAAGCATGCAATTTTAACAAATAGACAGTTACATAGACTATGTAATAGCATAGTACAATTCAACTCCTGTATTTCCAATTTTTTTATTTAATCTTTTTGATGTTCATCTTCTCATTTCCTAAATAAATACTCTGTGATTCAGGCAAAAATGTGAATGTTATATAATAAAATTACATAGTACAGTCTTAACTGCTCTACTGTTTTTCTTCCTTTCTTATCTATAGTCGTCCTCAAAAGGTGTGCCTGTGTCCATTCTTGCCAGTTCATCCTTTGAAAGTCTCCACTTGTTTGTACATTATTCAGCATCCAGCAGAGGTGAGTAATGTTAATGGGAAGCAACAAATTCAACTAGCCATTTGTTTATCAGCAATAGGGAAGATGCAGGTGAAAACGAAACCATGAGAAATTTTATCAAGCTTGATAAAATTTGGTAGACAGCTAGTATGATGCAGTAAAGCTAACTGGTCTCGTTTTAATTTTTTTTTTTTATAGTTTCTGGTAACCAACTGAATTAATGATACATGTACACATACCTGACCCAGACCTGAAGGCACATAATCAGTTAAAAAATGTGCATACCCATCATGGGAATTAGCAACTGAAATTATTACAATGCAGGAAGACAATAACTAGAGAGAAGTTTACTAATATATGTTACTTCAGAGACATGTGTGATACACTTCTATGCAGAAATGGCAAAATTGATTTATCTTGTACATCCAAAGGACTGGGCTTTATAACAAAAACATACTTTATCTAGCCACTAAGAATATAGTCTGCTTCACAAAGGAATGTAATAGAATGGTATATTGTCTTTATTTTTCCACTCCTACAAAACTGATAAGAACTGCATTATAGATGGCATTATTTCCTGTAAACCTGCAGCCCCCCTTCCTGCCTAATTCCAGATGAACACTAGGTATACTTATCAATGAGGCTAGGGTGATATAGCCTATTTGCCTGTTCACCTTGACTTACATTTTGCTTGCGTGAAGTTTATATACTGCGTGAGGTGAGGTGTAAGACTCTTGAAAACATATAGGTTGCCTCCAAATCTCAGTTGAAGGGGAGTAACAGTGGGAGAGCATTGTGTCTATCTCTTGATTCCAAACATTTCAGAGGCATGTGGTTGGCTATTGTGAAAAAGAAATTAAGATGATCCTGCAGGACTGCTCTTGTAATATTAAATGGCTTCACATCACAAACTCTGTAATTGCAGAGTGGGTTTATGAGGAATTATGCAGTAACAGCCTTTTTATTTTGTCCTTTTTCTTTGGGTTCGATGAGAAAGGAATTAGTTATTCTGGATTTTATCCTGGTGAAAAGTTCTACCATTTTTGTTTGCATGTCATGGAAACTGTGGAGCCCTTGATGTGGTATACTACATTTCTTGACATGTTTCATTTTGTCTTCTCTACCTGGAAGAGTATAAATTCTGATGGAGCATTGCCAGTGCAAATTGAGAGCTAACCATTGCTGGAGCTGTCATTCCCATCAGTTCAGCTCTATTTTCACTTGTGTTATTAATGTTGAAGAACTGCTAGGCTGGAGCCATAGAACTGCTTGGCCAACTAATGTACTTTTCATGGTAGCAGGAGTAATTTGTATCTTTTGTTCTTTCTGTCTGAAAATATTTCACTCATATTTAGGAATTTGAGTAAAAGGGATTGTTATTTATTTTATCTAATTAATCTGGAGTTTTGCCTGACAGTTCCATCCAACTTAAACTGTACCCTGAAGTTCTATATTTGATTATTTTGCTATCATGTATTTTTTTTATATAAAAGCAATTTCAAAGGAAAGCATAGACGTAAACATGATTGCACCAAACATAAGTTTAAAGTACATGTATAAAGTATATACAAATAACTACATTACCCACTTACTCAGACTTCCAGTGACCTGCTTGCAGATTCCATTCATTCATTCAGAGTCCACTGGAGTTGGGTGGCCAATAAATTGATGATGATGATGATGATGATGATGATGATGATGATGATGATATGATGATGATGGAGGAGGAGGAGGAGGAGGAGATCCTAATGCACACAATCTAA